ATGTGAGCTAACAGTGTGGGTTTTGTGAAAAAGCCAAGATTGTATTCTGAGATGTATGAGTAGAGGTATAGTCTGTGAGACAGATCAAGATTATCCTTCCACTGTTCTTAGCATCAGTGAGATCTTGATCTGATTTGGGTCTATAAAGAGCAATGAGAGCAGTCCAAGTCTGTAAAACATGGCTTGCAAGGAAAGACTGAAGGTGTTGTTTTAATAAGAAGGGGAGATTGTTGTGGCATTCAAGTTAGGTATTATGGGGAGATGGGTTAAAAAAAAGTGCTTCAAGTGAAACCCATTCAATTTCCTGGAAAGGCGGTGGAGTTCCTGAGGCTGGAAATCTGTAAGATCAGGTCAGGCAAACATCTCTCAGGAGTGACGTGGATGTAGTTGATCCTGCCCATAGTTTGGCGGAATGGTTTGGATGATGCTGTGTGGTCCTTTCAGGCTTTACAGCTCTCTGATGTCTTACATGTCTTCCCAAAGTGCAAGGCAATGGGAATATAAGCTCTGAGACCTCTCTACGGGTTTTTGTAGACCTGACTAATCACATGTGGTTGAGTGTTCATGAGGGTTTGCTCTTACAGAGTTCCCAACGAGTCTGCAGCCAGACGTGTTTGGTTTGGGAGGGCATAATGCCAAAGTAACTCTAGTCTGGAGGCTCCAGTGGGACATTCTCTGGAGCAGGCGAGTGCCAGGGAGAGTACAGCACTTAGAGGAAGGGAGGTGGGACGGATGATCAAAAAGCAGTTGGTGTGAGGGGGAAGGTCAGAACAGGTGTTAGGAAAACCCCTTTTCAGATATAGTCCTCCATTGAAGAGGACCAATGTGTAAGTCATATTCAGAGGTGGGAATGATCTAGCAGTTCATTCCTCTCTTAAACCTGGAGAGGGGAAGAGTGGTCTCAGCTGCAGCTGCTGTTTGCGGTCTCCCTTAAGCAACACTTCAGTTTATATACCCTTCCTGGGAAAGCCCGAATCTTTCAAACTTAAGGTTTCCAAAACATGTAGCAGCTGGCCAGCCCCAGCCACTCGCTGCTGTTGGAGGTGAAGGTCAGAATTGTTCCTGAACCCTCTTCCCGTTGGAGAAGCGGTGGCAAAGACTCCTGTGGGAAAGGCTGCTGAGTCAACCACAGAGCGTGTGGCTACCAGTGAGGCGGACGAATGCCTCCACGCTGTAAAAATAGCTGCACTAGGAGCCCTAATATACTTAAGTGCTTATTTTTCCATATGTGATCTCATGCAAACGAAGCTGCTGGGCAGTATGACATAGCAGTTGGCCAAAAATAAAATGTAACTCAATCAAAATGTTTGTGGGTTTTTTTTCCTGAAGTTAACCTTTGATGGGTGGAAGGCACAGGTACCTTGTTTTCTCATTTTCATTAAGTTATTGTTAGAAAAAAAAGTCCAGGTAGAAAAGACAGGTGAAGATGGGATTGACACCTGATATCCATTTTGTGATGATGGCCGCAGGTTAAGGATAGGAATTGTAGCTCTCTTGCACAGGCAAATAATGCCTATAATACAGTGAGAAAATGTACGTGGGATTTCTCTGGATGCTTCTCCAGCTGATTTCATTGAACTGAGTTTTGGATGGGCATTTGATGCTGTGAAAAAGGTGTAGACTTGGTAGCATTTGAAACTGAAGCCCATGAAGGAGACTGAGTAGCAACAGGCTTGGAACAAGGCGCTCTAATCCCTGTTGATAATCCTCAGAAAAATGTCTTTAGAGACCTTTAGAGGTTCATTTTCCTTCACTGTTGATGCGTGGTCTCTTAGCTATGTTGTGGAAGGTGGGCTGAAACCATGAAACCTCTTTGACGAAAGCCACTGAATACCTGGAAATGCTGGTAGGTTGACCACTGCCCTGCCAGAGCCAGCATTACACTCTTCAGGAATAAGAGTGGCTTACGAATCCCTTGCTGATAGAGAAACACCTGGACCTAAGGACAAGGATTGCTTTCCTCCAGCCTTGAAATTGGTGAAAAAGCTTTGTAATCCTGAATTTCACATGCAGAAGTATGTGCATCTCATGGCAAAAGTCTGGATGAAACCAGTCAGATTTGGGGGATTGTTTTGGTTTTTTACTAGCTATTAACATCACTTTTCTTATTTCAGTGAAAGCCGGAGGAGACAATCCCAGACCTCACAATCTTGTCACTGCGCTTCTCTGCAGGGCCTCTGACCTGTTTCTGCTGGACACGCGGGTGGTGTGGGCCTCAGAGGAGGGCTGGCTGGAGTTTGACGTCACTGCCACCAGTAACATGTGGGTGATGAACCCTCAGCACAACATGGGACTGCAGCTGAGCGTGGTGACCCGCGACGGTAGGTTACGGGCCAGTTCATGCGGGTAACCTCACAAGCCTCTCGGATGCTGTCTAGAAGTGGTGCTAACAGAGTCCAGTTGTGATGTGGGGAGTAAGCACCCTGCCGTCGTAGGCAGCTGTAGCCAACACCTTGAGCAAAGCATCTGAGGGCACAGATTAAGGGCTGTCAGCTTCTTGGCTGTCGTGTGACAGACGTCTTTCCTCATGAGTGAGGTCAGGTGTCTCTGAACAGTACCAGGATGAGGTGATGGAGGCGGGCTAGGGTAGGGTCCTGGTTCCTGAGTTGGAAGGGAAAGGGGCATGGAGCTGGGATCCCAGGTGGGGTGAGAGGAAGAGAAGAGGGCAGGTATATGAGTATGCGTCTTCCCATGTGGGCTTATGGCAACCCTGCTGGCTGCTACAGCTGCTGCCATCGCTGCTCGGATCTCATTAAACCTGAGATGGGAGCCCTGTGCTGGAGAAGTGATGCGGTCACTGTGTGGGTCTGGTCCCTCTGAGGGCAACTGCAATGACAGCTTTCACCGCCCACAGAAACTTTGAAAGGTGGAAAAGGAGAGAAGGGACTGCAAAAGAGCATGAAATGGAGTGTTGGAAGATAAGTGGTGGGGAAGGAGAGGATCTAGATGGGCAGCAGGTGACCAAAAAGAGGACAGTGACATCTTTCCTCTATAGGAACCAGTCTCCAACCTTATGTTTTCTTCCTGTGGCTTCATGCTGGGGTTTGGTACACCTGTGGGGTCAAGTGAGACCAGATGAACTGTCTACTGTTCTCCCTGAGGAAATGTTAGTGCCGTCCTTCCCCTCACGAAATGGGCTAAAAGCCCATCCCTGTGCTCCTGACAAAAGCATCCCATCTCTTTGCCCTTTGCTTTCCCTAGAGGTCTCCTAATCCCATCTCTGCTTCTTGTGTTTCACAGGCAGCAGAACTAATTTCATGACCCATCTGGGCTTTGTGTTTCACATATTTATGTGTATACCTCTTCAATGCCTAAACTGGAGTAGAGATGCCATAGGGGTACCAAAGAGCCAGGTGCTGCCATGAAGCCTCTTGTACAGGATGGATAGAATGCTGTTGTAAAAATGTCTGTAGGTCACGGTGGCAGGAGAGGAGTGTTTAGTGATAAAAGAAGAGTATGAGCAAGACGAAAGGAAACACTGCTCATGGGGATGCTGTGATTCTGGAAGGAGCAATCCAACAGCACCATTTCTCTAACACTCACTTTTCTGTTTGATTTCAAGGTTTCAGCGTAAATCCTAGAGAAGCAGGCCTTATAGGCCGAGATGGCCCTTATGACAAACAGCCTTTCATGGTGGCCTTCTTCAAAGTGAGCGAAGTCCATGTTCGGACTACTAGGTCAGCAACGAGCAGGCGGAGGCAACAGAGTCGCAACCGCTCCACCCAGGCTCAGGATGTTTCCAGGGTGTCTAGCGTCACAGGTAATCATGCAACACCCATTTTATCTGGAAGCTGGGGCAACTTCTTGTAATGTTTTTATTTGCTTTGGAGTGCAAAAGCAAGAAGGGGCACTTGAGGTGGGATGCCCTTCCGTGGGGAGGAACAGGTTACACCTGCAAGGGGATGGGAGAGGGAGTCTCCCATAGTGAGACTTACAGGCGTCCTCCTGAATCCAGGGTGGAGTCCAGACCCCCATGTGAAGTCGCAACCGTTGCATTCAGGGGGGTGAGGCATTTTAACTGTGAATTTTGTGCTTGTAGGTTGCTTGCTGCACAGTATTTACCTAGAATTATGCCACATGAAATGCAATATTTAAAAGATTCCATCTCTGCGTACACTGAGATTTATGGTATTGCACATAAGCATTTTCAGCTGAGTCCTCTTTTGGTTTTCTTTGGAAAAATGCTGGTAGAACAGCACGAGATCCTTTCCTTTTTTCCTTGTAAGAACAGCAGCGTATACACAGTGAAGTGCATTTCCAGGCAGGCAAAGAGGCTTGCCTGTTTGCTGTGGAAAGGTTGCACGTTGCAGGTGGTGTACAGCAGCCTTTGGAGTGCTGTTGCGGGCTGGTGGATAACTCCAAAATTTTGACAAAAATTGAGTCTCTCCTGTCTTCTAAGTCTTGTCTGTTTTCCAGCCACTCTGCCCTGCATCACAGTGCTACAAGTCCTTCGTTCATCGAGTACCTTCTCTCCTCTGAAACATTTCAGCCCGTTCCAAGTTACTTGATTAATTTGCTTATGCTGCCCCCTTCATTTCCAGTAGGATCCCTGCTTTTCCCATGTCTAGAAACGACTATACCCCAAGGAAGAGAGGCGGCTGTATTTTTTAGTCTGTGTCTAGACGCAGCACAGGGAGATGAGCCAGCATTGCCAAAACTTAGCTGGTGTGAATCTGTAGGCTGTCCCCTGCTCTTTCATGCTTAGGTTGTGGGCGAGCCACGCTGCACCCAAGGTGGCCCCGCGCTGGCCGTGGCGCTGGGAGTGCTCAGAGAGCCAGAGCCAGGTTGGGAACCCCTCCAGGGCAGGCAGCCAGGCTTTGAGCATGGCAGTGTGCTGATGCAGCCCTATTGCTCCAGCCCAGCATGGTGATGGACTTGCCCTTTGGGCTAGTGTGTGCCAGCAGCAGTTGGCCACTAACAACTGTTGCGTGTCCTCATGGTGCACGCCACAGCATGGCTGCGGGTTCCCACGCAACGCTGTGAAAGTGTCAGACTTGGCTGGGTGTGAAATGTCACTTCACAGATTTTAAGGGCAGGAGGAGCAACCCAGTCCTGCAGCTTGACCTCCCTGAGGGAGGCTGGCCAGTGTGAGCGTGGCATTGCCGGAGGCTAATCTGGTGTGAGAACCCTCTGCCAGCCCTGCAGATGGAGCCGTCTGTTGGTCCCAATTGCTGGGACCTACTTCAGTCCTGGTTTTCCTTGGGGAAAAGCTCCAAGCTGCGGTTTTAAAGGCAGGCATCACAGCTGCTCCCTGGGTTACTTTCCCATGTGATGGGCTCGCCAAGGGCATAGGTAGTTTATCATCTGGTCATTAGAAGCAATAAGCCCAGCTTTTACACAGGCAGCATGCAATTCTCCTACACAGGTGGGCTCGGTTGCCGTGCTCACTTCATCATGAGAGCCAATTTTTTAATGCATTTGCAGCGCTTTGGGAAAGTTACTCACTGCGTTGCTCTTTTGTGGTGCCAGTAGAAGAGTCAGGATAGGCTTCAGCTTTCTCTCCCCAGCTCCACAAGCGTTGCAGTGCTAAAACCAAATTTTGACTACTATTAAATCAGGCAATGTGACTCAAAGCTCCAGAGGGAGCAGATATATTGGGCAAAAAGGGCCATTTTTATATCGCTGCTTTCTTGACTACACCACACATCAGGTCGTAAAATTATAAAATGACAAAAAGGGAAAAAAAAGCTGGTCATTCTGTGGTCTCAAGGGCTTTTTTGAGCTCTTCTAGCTCAAAGCCAGCTTTAATTTAAAATCTGGAATTTGGCAGTTCAGTAGTCAACAAGGTATAGTTGAGCCTCTGTGGATTTAAGGCGGGGGAGAGGAGGGAATTTAAAGTTAAGATGTGTGTTTGGTTGGTTTCTGTGTTTAGAAAAGAGAGACTACATCAGCTTATTTTCCTTTCTAAGTGTGACCCTCTTGGACTCTGTTCTCCCTAAGAAGTGGTTGATTTAATAGCCCAAGAAGCACCAATGACCGATATGCATTTTTAGTGTTAAAGAGATCACAGGGTTTTTTTTTCTTTTTTAGTTGTGTGGGTTCCTACATCCATGCCTTGGTGATGCATGGTGGGGCTGGGAAAGTGTTCGCCCCAGGATGAAGCAGGAGGCAAGCCCGGGGGTTACCCTGGAGGCTGCCTTGCTCTTCTGAGGGTGCCTTCATGCATCTGGACCCAAAGCGGCTGCAGAACTGTGATGCTGCAGTCCCCTCCTGTGCGTCTCCCTGTCTGCGTGTCTTCCTCTCTCACTGTATCTTACGCCTTGTCAGATTTTTGGTCTGTGCTCTTCGCCCAGCCAGGATTGCCGCTGCCTATCAGGGCTTGAGGGCAGTTTCTCTCCTGGAGAAGGCAGCAAGGCAGTGGCTGGTGTTGATGTTTTTTTGTAGATTGAACCTTCCTTCCCTTAGTGAATACACAGAGTTTTCTTTCTTCAGTCCAAAAATCAACCCCTTTCCCAAAAGATGCTGTGAGTTGGGCTAGGGCAGTATGTTTAAAAAAGCCCCATTTACTATCTAAATATGGAAAGCATTTCAAGTCCTGCAGCTCGGAGCGCGTGAAGTGTGCTGCTGGGCTGGTGCTGGATCTGGTGAGCCGGGCGGTTACGTGGAGGCATGCTGCTACGTGCAGGATTGGGACCCCGCTGTGCTCCCTTTGATGTGCAGTTGTTGTCCTGCAGTCAGTACCAAGTGCTCGGATGCTAAGGTTATGGCTGTGGCATAAGAATCTCAATGGTCTGTATTTTTTCGCCAAGAATGCTCATTTCCCTGTATTATAAACACGTAATTATGACTGGCTTATATAAAGCAGAACTGAATAACCCCCATGGTTATAAACTGCTTTGACACAGAGTCCTGCGTCAATGCATTCCTGGAGCCAAGCTCTGTTCTTCTGCAGAAGGAGGATGAACAGGAAGAAAAGGAAGTATTTTTGTCTGTTGAGGCAGAAAATCATATGCCAGCTCTGGCCCAGGACGTGGAGGAATGAGGTGGGTGGGAGGAGCGTGCAGGTGTTTCTGTGCTGTTGTCTGCAAGGTCTGGAGGCCCTCGCTCAGCTGTGTCTTGCGGTGGGTTTGGCTCATGCTCTCCGACTCCAGGCTGACCCTCTAGTTAATCTGAAGAGATGGAGATTGTCTTCAACGTAAAGGACAGTGACCCTCGAGCCTAAGGACTTGCTCCTACACAACCAGCTCCTCCATGAGTTACGGTTTCTGTATGGGGCTGTCTCCTTGTCCAGTGGGAATAACCCTTCTCTTCTGTGAGTCGGCCGTCAGCCCCTCCATATGGGGAGGGTTGCATTTAAACATCTGACTTTGGGCTGCACTTGCTGCTCTGAGTGAAACTCATGCAGCGCCCCTTTTCGGGTCCTTCTCTTCAGCCACCCTAAGGCCTCCGGGACTGGTGTGAGGTGCTCCATGAGAAATGGAGGGGCCTTCCAAGTGGCTTTTCCTTCCGGCAGATGTGCGTGGAATCAGGCAGATTTCTCCCCATGTACGGGAACTAAATACTGCAAAGGGCAGCACGCACAAACACTGGAGGCAACTAAGGCCAAATGCTTTCGCAGTGGCAAGGGTCTTGTTAATAAACATTATTATCTCGCATCCAATCTTCCCGTTAGAGCGCTCAGATGCGGACAGGAGCGGCATGGCCGGCGTTTCTGTATGTGCCTTCACACGCGGGCCCACGTCAGCCTGACATCTCCCCTTCTTCCCACCCAAGCAGATCGCTTTCATGTGAAGTGGGCTGTTATTAACTGTGCGATCAGTTTACACCAGCTTTATCCAGACAAATCACCAAAGTCAAACACCAAGAAGAAGGGGCTGGCCTTGGAGACCTCTGTCAAAGCTATTTTGGACCACAGAAGCAATTAATTACCATGTGGAATTTGGTAAGCTGGCACCTTGGGAGCAGCAAGGGTGTTCTCAGACGTATCGACCTCAGTAAATATTTATATATTCTTTGCCAGCACTTAATGTGGGAGAGGTTATAGGAAATCTAAGGTGGGTGCATAAGTATCTGTAAGAGGAAGACCATTAAGGTCGGGCTATTCTCTCTCCCCTTTCGGCAACACAAATGCCAATTTCCAGCCTTAAGAGAAACATCTGTGCTCACAGAAAGTCAGACTTGGGTTCTGGTGAAGGCAGACAAAGTTCAGTGCAAATAAGCTGCAGAGACAAACCATCTTAACTGCGCCGTTTTAACTGCGCTGCCCTGGAAGTTATTTTTAAGTGCAGAACTAGGGGTTTGGGTGTTTTTTTTTAAATCTCTGTTTTAGACAAAATAGTTGGCAGTGTGATTAAATGCAGTGCCTTGTGAATGCCAAGCTAGTGTTTCTGAATTGGTACATTCAGGGGGGAAAAAAAAAAAAAAGAGATGATTTTGCTAAACCCACAGTGAGCCTATAGGAGCTCCCAAAGCAGCTCCCTAAACTCGCAGAGATTTCGAAGGTCTCTGGCAAGGAATCCTTGGAAATTGTGTCGTGGCGGTGTAAGCCAGCAGGGTCCCCCTGCTGCAGGGCTGCCGGGGAGGGACATGTACCCTGTTGCCTCTTAGATGTTGGGTCTTGCACTGCCAACCACCTCAAACAGCAATTTGGGCTAAAACAGTTGAATATGCTCCACTGGGGTAGCTCATACTGCTTTCCAGGCTCTGGAGAAAATGTGTCGTGGGAGGCCAACTTCAGTAGCTCAGCAAGCTTTAGCTCACTGCCAAAAACCCTTTACTGTGTGGATTCCTCTTTTTTTCAGGCCCATAATTGGATGTATGTGGCTCTAGGGCACACGCCGAACCCCAAACCGTAGGGAATGGATTGTTATTACGTGCATCTGTATTGCCTTTTCCCCTCCACCGCTAAGGGTTGATTGAAGGTTTGTAACATCCCTGAAGTTGAGCTAAAGTAGGTTCCATAAAGTAGACACGGTAGGCAAATGTAACAAGAAGAGAGGGCAGGGGAGCGTGGGGTGAGCGTTAAACAGGGCAGAGTGCGAATCCCGGGAGAGGGGTTGTTTAGTAAGTTGGCATTTAAGAAAGCAAAGGCTGAGTTTGGGCAGAGGAGGCAGAGCTGTCTGTGTCTGCCATGGATGGAGTAGCTGGTGCTCAATGCAGGGTGTGAATCGGGCCAACCAGTGAACCGGGGCACGTTTTGGGGGGCCAACTTCAGGCAGCGTGAGAGAGGACACATTCATAACATGTTCTGCTTCATGTAGCTTGTTAAGCAGCTCTTTTTTTTCTTTGTTTTCTTAAACTTGTGTGATTGCTCACAGCCTTTCTTCCCACTCCTGTTTCCCCTGCCTCCCTTGCCTTCTCCCCTTTCCCATAGCTGACTTGGGTAAGTTGTAGCTGGATTTGGAACGCAGCATTGTTCTGCCTACTCAGTTGTGAATAGGCTCAACTCCACTGTAACTCCCCGTCAAATACGGATGGTTTTCCCCTAAGCAAACAACATATTTTCCATTGAAGAACAATGAAGTCATGTTTTCAGGTACTTAAATGAAGGCCTTTGACCGCTGAAAGTATCTTCTGCTCATTTTTTTCCCCTTGTTATGACCAGCTCATTTAGAAACATCAGATGCTAGAAATTTGCTCCCGGGCTGAGCTAGGGACTGACAAGCTTCATCTGAAAAAACCCACCACACCCTGGTTTCTACGGGCTATGTCTGGTTTGAAAATTGAGAGCTTGAATAGAGAAACTCGCCTCCGTCCTTGCTACCAAGTGCTCCTGAAAGAACAAATGTTTATGCTGCAGCAGGCTGTCAACCAGCTCTGCTCACCTGATTAAATCCGTGATTGAAGCGAAGCTATTGAAAGTCCGAAATGCAATCCTTAAAGTTTAAAACCCAAACCGCTTCTAAAAACAACTTTCTAATCTTTGGTGGTTTGGAGGCGAGGTTTGAGGTGTAGGGTTTTTTCAGACCTCAGTGTTAACTGTACCCAGCTGTAATGCTGTGCTGCCCTTAATGTCAGTTGGATGTGCTTTTAGTATTGTAGTTTTTCTTTCGAATAAATATTTGCATTTGTAGTTCCCAAACTTGGGGCAGCGGGGGGGTGGTGGTGGTGGTGGTGGTGGAGGGAAGAAAAAGAAAGGCTTATTCAGAGCCAAGGAAAAAGTCACTAAAAATATTTTTCTATCCCAGCTGCCGCATTTGGGGAAAGCTACACTGGGAGGGTGCCCTTTTAAGCCGCGTTAGGGGCTCCGGGGGGGCTGCTTAGCCGAAAGGCCCAGGGCAGCGGGGGGCAGTCGCATCAGCGTGTGGCATCTGCCTGCTGACGGAAGCGCCTTTACTTGCAAATGAGGCGTGCGAGAGGAGAGGAGGCCCGTGTGGGTGAGGCATCGGAGGAGAACACGGCCGGTCTGGGTCCAGCTCTGGGACGAGTGTCACTGCATGGACGAGGACCTGGGCTCCCGTGCTGCTCGGCTGAATTTGCTGCCATCTCTTCCTCTCGTGCTTCCCTGGTGGGCACGAAGCGCGGGTTCGAGGCACCCTGCTGCCAAGGTGGTTTCTGTGGCTGCTGCGCTGAGGTCCAGCAGCCGCCCAAGGTGTGACGATATCCACCACCACCCGTCAAGGCTGGATGTGTGCAGCCACCCCCGGGGTGAAAGGCCCCTCTGTCACGGCTCAGCTCCTCCGCTCGCTGCGGTTCCAGGTGTTCGCGTGCAGAGCCGCCTCTCTTTCCAAATATAAATGGGAAATTCCACTCGCTGTCAAAAGCTGCATTTTGTAGGGCCATCGGGAGCTGCTCCTGCATGGTCGAAACATCCTTGTACCTCACGTCGTGGCAAGGGGAAAGGTCTCTGGTCAGGGCTTTGCACCCTGTGCCCCCACTCTTCTGTGCAGTGTTAGCGCTATGGAGCAAGTTAATGGTGAGAGTGTGTCAAATCCTTTCTCTCTGCAGTTAAGTGGGTTATGGGAAGGAGAAACTTGTTTTTCATAGCATGGCTTGTAAAGGTCCAAAAGTGGAGGTGGTGCATGGAGCCACATGTGATGTCCAAGGCAGGCTTGGGGTAAGGCACAGAGAGACTGGGACATGGCTTCACCACCTGTGGGACATCTTAGCTGTTTACAGACTTCTGCTAACAGGTTTAAGGACTTCTGCTAATGGGTATAGGGGCACAAGGCCATGCTTAACCTTCCCAGGGTTGTAATTCTCTTGGTAAGTGTGTGTGTTTTGGGCTTACCACCTAGGGTGGCACACGTTGGGAACTGCGGCCGAGGAAGTGGGGGTGAGTTTGAGCAGCCAGCAGGGATATAGCCTGTGCCAGCCTGAAGGAGCAGATTTATTTTTAAGAAGTCATTTTACTGGAGGTGTTTTACAAGCGCTGCTTGTCAAGTTAGTAAAGGCAGCTGAAGGAATTATAACCAAGTCACTGTTACTTGGGTGCCTCCATTCCCATAGGCATCTTAAAAGCTTCAGCCCTGTATTGGACATCCCTCAACACCCTTCTCCTTTTGGCTGCTGAGGGAGCTCGCCGTTTGTCGCTGTTGAGCCTGTAGTGTGCACACATCTGGCCAGCTGTACCCTCCAGCGATGCTCTTCCTGTTTTACTTTCTAAATTCCTGGTTTGTTCTTTTTCTTTTAACAGATTACAACAGCAGTGACTTAAAAACGGCGTGCAGAAAGCATGAGCTTTACGTTAGCTTCCAAGACTTGGGATGGCAGGTGTGTGATGTTTCTCTCTGGGTAAACTAGACATTTTGTTATGAAATGTTATCTAAACAGTGTCACGGTAATTCCACTCGAGGCTGCCATTACGCTTTAAAATGTCCCTTGTGCCTCCTCACTAAAACCAGTCACAGGGAAGGGCAAATAAATATTGATAGTTGTGACATTTGATAAGATCCAGAGGAAGCTTGATACTTTATGAGATTCAAGTATACAGTCATTCTGTGTCACTCATGGGAGTCACAGTACGGGCAAGGGCTCATATCTGTGTACCTCTAGTGATAAGGGAAAAAAATCTGATGTTAAGCAGTGATTTTAGCCAAATCAAGTTTTTTTTCTAGTGATCAGCCATTGTGTTGAAGTCCTCCGCCCCCTGCCCCACAATTAGCACTATCTGTGGTAGGTGGACTGACGACTGGGTTTAGCTGCAACACCGTGAGGCCACAGAGTTGTTTAAACTAAGTTATTTAGGACCAGGCCACAGTGTCATCAAACATCCCATTTCAAAGAATGCCCTCATCTTCTCTTTTTTTTTTTTTTTATTCTCTCACTTAGCACTTTTGTGAGGGAGGTCCCATTTCTATCAGCTAATGTTTTTACCAGGTTAGAATTTAGGATGCCAGGGCTGCCCCCGCTGCTTCTGTAATACCCTACATGTGAAAGTCCTCTCCCAGCTAATGGGACAGCAGCTTTTTGTAGCTTATGTCAACGCCAGCTCCCTAGCTACAGCTGTGGCTGGCTGCTGTCTCCGTTCTCTATTACTTATAGTGGCTTTTTTTTTTTTTTTCACTTGTGTTCGGTTTTCCACCTCCTCCTTAGCTCGCTTGCCCTGCTTCCAGACAGGAAGTGTATTCCAGTTGTGAAGTTCACGGTCTCGAAGGCACTGCCTTCACCTTTCTAGTTGCAGACTTGAGCAGAAAGGTAAGATGCTGCTAAAGGAAGGCCACGGGCCAGCAGGGCTCTTTGCAGGAGCTGGAATCCAGGTCCTACTTGTTGTAGAGAGAGGATGGAGGCAGGGCAGCAGCCATCCATCGAGTTTTTAGCAGAGTGCTTCCCTTATTCTTATACCGCATTAAACCACAAATTTAATTACACGGTCTGTACTGGCTTCTGTAGCAGGAGAGCGACTGTCTTACGAAAAACAGCTTAGTTTACTGGGAGCAAATTATGGGTGAGCTAGTACAGTAAAATGAAGAGGTGGTTTTTCTATGCCCAAGTACACTCATGTTAGCAATCCAACAGCAAATCTGGTTAGCAAACCTGCAGCAACAGTCTCTGGCTGCTCAGGGCCGCTGCAGCAAAATTCAGGCTAACCCAGGTAATCGTTGTCAGGTAAAGGGGAGATCAGCTAAGGATTATGTGCACGTGAAGTACGTCCTCCTGCAGGGTGACCTGCAGGGCCTGACACCAAGGGAGGCGACATGCCTCCTGCTAATTGGTGATGCTTTTAATTTACCTTTCGCTCTTTTGTGTAAGCAGCAGAGAAGCTATAATTTTTTTTTTTTGTTAGCACATTGGTGAAGAGTCGCCTTCTTCCATAGCGTGGCGCTCAGATCGCCATGGGGGCCACCTGCCTGCACACACAGCTCAGGCTGGCTGGCCTGCCCCTGCTTTAGGACTCTGGCAGAGGTGAAGCTGTTACGCAGCTAAAACTTCCCACCGTGGCCTTAGCCGACTACCGTCCCTGTATAAGACTGTATAGGGTCAAATGTCTGAGAGGCACCACGTCAACGTTTTATATTCCTATTCTGGAGCTCCCTGGTTGAATTGTGCATGGGTGCACGCACATGCAGGCACGTACATGATTTTCTCCAGGAGGGGACACCAGCTGAGGCTGCAATCCAACCTAGAAAAGGTATTTCAGCCAGAGGGCCTAACCTGCAGGAAACGTTGGAACATAAAGGCATCCAAACCACAGTCCCCACAAGGCAACCCAGCAAGAGTTTTAGGAATAAAACTCTTCTAGTTCATGGCAGTTAAGCCGTACATAGATGTGAACCATTCTTTGGATGTTAAAATCAGTGTGCCCATGGAAAAGTCATGGATCACCAAAAAAAAAACCCCAAACCCTAATAGCTTCAGTGAAAACACATTTTCACCCTCAAGAAAAAAGTTAGTGGAAAATTTTCAGCTGCTCTTAATTGCATGCAGTTGTCTGTGCAAGTTGGCAACTTTTTAATTTGAATCACGTTCTGTTTGTTTCCTAAAAAGGACTGGATAATCGCTCCAAAGGGCTACGCAGCCAACTACTGTGATGGGGAGTGCTCATTCCCACTCAATGCCCATATGAACGCGACCAATCATGCCATTGTACAAACTCTGGTAAGTCTCCGGAAAGCTGGATGCCAAAGCAATAGGTGAATTTGTAAACGAGTTACCATTGTCTCAGTTCTGTTTTCTTTTTGGCAACAGGTTCATCTTATGAATCCTGATTACGTTCCCAAACCATGCTGTGCACCTACCAAACTAAATGCCATATCCGTTCTTTATTTTGATGATAATTCTAATGTAATCTTGAAGAAATACAGGAATATGGTAGTAAGAGCTTGTGGATGTCACTGACAAACAGTCTTCACACGGACTCTGTGATTCTACCATGAACTTCTGTACTACCTTCCATGCTTTCATGAACTACCTGCCATTGAAAAAAAAAAAATAATTGATGAGCCACCTTTCAGAACACCACGTATGTGCCTTGTGGGAGGAAGGGGTGTGGGAAGCACACGTTGGGGTGTGAGCAAACCCCTGGACTTCTCACAGACTGACCCTACTCCATGGTGGCTGCTCAGCTCTGCAGAGCCAGGGCGCGCAAAGCAGCGGTATGCCCACACACACTTTATTTAGCGGGGATGGTCTTTATCTCACATAGCAGCTTGGCCGTAGCGGTTCCTTGGATGGATGCTGCAGTTTTAGCAGATGGGCATGAAACACTCAAAACAAGGGGGGCGGGGGGAGAGAAGACAAGGGGAGAGACAGGGAAGCTAGAGTAAAGAAAGTGGTGTTAGTACTTCAGACTTCAGGCATACAACTTGTACAAAATAATAAAAAAATCCTAAGATTTGGAATTGCTTTTTGTCTAGAAGGACCAGTTACTACACCTAGACTGTTAATCTCCTCCTGAAATCTGTCATGACAGTAAGCATCTTAAATTGTGCCAAAGCAAGTGTTTCGGTTCTGTTATTCTGCAAGCACAGTTTAAGTCTGATCCTGCAAGTGTAAGGTGGCTTGGCTGCAGCCTGTGTTAGAAACAGTAGCCTGAACTCAGACCCCGACTGGTCCTTCCCATTCGCTATTTGACTGAGCAACGTAATGTTACACACTTGTTCTTATGCAACTTCCTTCCACTGCCCGCACGGAGCTGCCTCATCTACTACCACTTGCCCAGGAAGGAAGTCAGGATGCTTCTACAGCTGTAATTCAGACATAAAAGTTTAGGGGCCATTCATTCTCTAGCTGGACCATTTATTTACAGGAAGACAGAATGTCAACAACATACGCAAGTCTTGGCCAACCTTTCCCCTTCAACTCACGCAACTAACAAACTGGTATAAAGGATACATTCACAGTGTAGCCACGGTTTGTCTAGCAGAAGAAGCTAACAGCAAATTGTTTTGGTCAATACTAAACTTGTATTAAATGCACTTACCTCTAATTCTTGCATTTAAAAGGCTTCTTGTAAATACAAGCTATAATTTATTGCACTTGTCATTGTATATTCATTGTGCTGTATCATTTATAGAAAGACTGCTTTTTTAAAAAGTTTTTATTTAGAAAAATCTCAGTGTAAACAATTGTACCACTTTGATTTTATACAAGAAACTCATGAGATTGTGCTTCACTAGAAAGTTGTTAAAAACGTGATAATAAAGGCTTCCTTTAAGGCAGAAGTACATACATTGATCTAATACATCTGCCAGTACAACACAGCTTTCACTGTGGCTTTTTCACCCTTACACATTTTCAGATTGAACAGAATCCAAAAGTTCCGGACAGACAATGAAGTGAAGTACCAAGAGAAATTCACTGATTTAAAGGTTCATTGCTGTTTTGCCTCTTTTTTTAAAAAAGAAAACAAAAAACCCAACCTACTCCATATGATGGACAAAAATCAGCATCTTGACAGATTAGTCAAGTTAGCCTGTAGCCATCCTCATTCCATGAGTTTCTGTGCACACGAGATGGCAGAATTTAGTCCTCAGTTTGCTGTTGTCTTTGTAGCATGACAGTCTCTGCAGTGTAAATTCTTTGGCTTTCAATTATGTCTAACATGGAACATCTTATGCACCAAAGAATAGATCCATATTATAATCCAAGGCCTAGCATTCAGATTTATCAACGAAAGAGGTTAAGGCTCAAGAAGAGTGGGGAACTATTTTACACTACTGTAGAATAACTGAATGGAAAAAAAAATTAAACGTACTGCTTGTTACTCTCTAAGTACTTTGAATAAGGAGCAGGTCAGCACAAAGTCTGGATTCAGGCGAGGGTAGGAAACGCGTGTCATCAGCTCTGAAGTCTAACTGATCATTTAATATTAACGGAGCAGTTATAATAGCGCCTATTCACTTTGGCTCTATATAAGTAGAGCATAGTTACTCCTCTGGAGCTGGACGGAAGCAGCCTACGAAAATCCACCTGACACATGTACACTATGGCATCAGTAATGTTCAGGCACGTGTTACAGTACCATCACTTTCATTATGGCTAGACCTCCCACGCTGAGAGGATTAACAGGAAACAACCAGCTCATGGTGGCCTGGTATCTTCCAAAGGTGTGTGTGTTTTCAACCTCCTGTGACTTTCCATTTCTTAACCAGCAGCTATATTAAGACAAATAGGGTTTCAAGTACAGTTCTAGAGGCAAAAGTGACTCAACGCAGCTGTAGCTTATACCTTTCTAGTAATGGTGGGCAGTTTGTAAGAATTACACTTTAACCAAATCTAACTTGAAGACAAAAATATTCTACTGGTGCCCTTAAGTTGGTTTTTCTTCATGTATTTTAGTCTCAAAGGAAACCATTTACACTTCATTGCGGAAACGCAGAAATGCAGTAGTACTACCAATACTGAAAATATTCTCAGTTTGCACAGTAACTACTTGTTAGTTTTCCTTCACACTCGGGGTAATGTGCCTTTAACACACACACAGAGGGAAGATACCAATGTTCAGTACATTCAATTTCCTAAAAACAAATAAACAAAAAAATGCCCCAATCCCCACCCCACCCACCCCCAAATACACTATTTGAAAATTAGCAATGATTGAAATCCCTCAGCTACTGTACAAAGACAGTCAGGGACGGAGCATCCAGATTTTTATTACAATTCATCCCTTGCCTGACGTAAGACAAAGCTATGCAGTGATTCAAGGTCTCTCGTTCCATTGTGTTCACTGACTTTCTTTCCACCTCGGAAAAGTAGAAGTGTAGGATAACCCCGTACCTTCAAAAGACACACGCAAAAAAACAAAACAAAACAAAAACAAACTTGTTACTGATGTCCAAACTCACAGGTAGCCTTCATTTATATTCACCTGACTTTGAAAAGCCACCAAACCCCTCTAAAACAGTAAGCCATTTTAATTTAAAAAAACCAAACCCCAACACCGCACCAGAACTTCCAATGCCAACCTGCAATTTCTGTTCATTTGTAAGCTGAATGGGATAATATACATTCCTCTAGGCTCTTCCATCAGCAGCTGAGAATGGCAGCTCCAGCACTGTCTTTTGTTGTCTGCCTACCAGCACTAAAAGACATCTTTTTTTTCTCTAGAAACAGAACTTTGCCTCGGCTACCACAAGACTGCTTTGGTGCTTGGACAGAGGGAGGCTTCTTAAATTAGGGACTTCTTCAGCTTTATCTAACAATGAGAATGACCAAGCAGTCTGAACAAACAGTCCAGGAAAGAAACAGCATCAGCAGGTGCTGCTCTGAACTACCTCTTTTTTTGGCTAATGGAGAACACAGCTGTGCTGTCACCAGGCACCCACAACGCAGCCAGCTCAGCTGCACGCTGGAGCCTCTAACATTTGGTACACAATACTGTCCCGTTCATTTCAGATCTTTCACACTTACAGAAAATCTGTTGCAGACGTTACGTTGCACAGTGCAGTCTACTTCTGCTATTTTGACATCAGTCAAACCTGGAAATTGCTCTTTGGCAAGGTTCTCCCAAGTTGGAGCCAAGTTCTTACAGTGACCACACCTAGAAACAAAAGAGAGAGATTTGTTTAGCAGATACACCTTCCAGTTTATCTCTACTGTCTTGCCTCAATGGCTGTAAGTTTAACTAGCTGCCTTTCCTATCCCCTAATGATTTGGCCCTCCAACTCCTTTGCACTATTATGTCAGTAAATGAGCTAAGAAAACAAGTAATCTTTATGTAAGTTAAGCACTGAAGTAGTTTCTGGCCTTCATTAGTCTCATCTGGAATGGTATTCTGCATGTCAGTGCATTAACATTTTACCCTACAGAGGAATATGAAGCCAAATAAAGATGAGCGCAGAGAATGTTTAAATGGAAAAAAAAAAAAAAAAAGATTGCTTAGAAACAAATGTTTTAAGTAAGGCATAGAAAGCCTGTAGTACAAATTAAGTTCTCAGGTAGCATATGCCAGTTATGCTAAATCCACATAGCCCAAGTTTAATTATTTAAAAGAGATTTTAATTTTGCTATTAAATTTCTTCCAGTTCGTAATGGCCTCCTTGACCAATGGTAGCATGCTGGAAACTGAGTTTTAATAGAAGCATTTGTCAACACAGATTCTGCTTTTATGCAACACCCAGTAGTCTAACGCACTTTTTCACTGAAGGTACTTTGAAGTTTAACCACTACCACTGTACTTTCAGGTAGATCCACAATGGAATTGTTTGATAGTCAATAAGCTTCACTTAGCAGATGGGAAAAAAAAAAAAATTTCAGGCCCTATTCTGATTCGTATTAAATAGAAAATCATTCCAGTTATATCCTCCATAACACCAGAAAGCCTATTTCTATTTTATTCCCCGATGTAACAGTAACTTGAGAATGCGGTCCACAGAGTACACACAATGAAACACTAGTGTCAAGAGAGAAAATGATACTGTAAAATGGCAGGAACTGTAGTAAAGTATTAATTTTGTTTATATTTTGAACTTGGCTTAGCCAAGTTCATAACTTGAATTTCTTACTGCCTTCAAGAAGAATTCCCAAAGCACTTTAGACTTTAAAGCTGCATTGCTCATTCTATTCTAAACCAGCTGCACCTTAATTAGGTTATTAAAACAGCCCCACAATTGCCTTGAGGCTGGATCAGGGCATTTACAAAAATAATGAAAGATGGCTCTGCAAAAGTTTTCTTAATACAAGCCAGTGTATATTCAAACCACCTTGTTAATACACAGTGACAGTATAAAAGCATTTCTGATCACGCACAAAAACTACTATTAGAGGATGATTTTATGCTTACTGTGCAAGTTAACATTAATATTTATCCAAAACTAACTGAAAGACAGAACTAGCAAGCAACATAATAGCGTTTGCTGAGCCCTACATAAGCTAATCCACTTGGAAGAGAAAAAGGTCATTTATACGCAGAGCACTACAACTGTATATACAAGCCTAACTTTCAGAGCTGAAACTAGAATACCAGCTACATAAATATAGGAAGTATTTTCCTAAACGGCGGCTTTCTGAACATTGCAGCCAGGGAGCGCACACTGGTTTAAGAACTTGACTCTCTGCATCCTGAGCCACCATTTCTCAGCCTGCCATCCAACACTGATCATGTATCTGTGAGATCCAGCAACACACCATTAGAATTTCATGAGATGAGAGGATGGTTAAAGTGCAGTATTATTAAGAAAAGGTAATTAAAAAGGGAGCATTTCTTTATCTCAAACTTTTTCAGAAAAAAATTCTCAGATATTGACCTACATATGCCAACAAGCCCTGGCTGCAGAAATCAGACTAGAAGCTGCTTTGTGCACAGTGTAAACTGAATTTACCAGCCAGTTCTGCTGGTAGCATAGTAGCAGCACAGCCACAGATTCAATCTCAGTCCCTCACAATGCACAGAGAAGATAAACGGAGTGAAGAGTGAGCAGTACACGTTGGGGGAGTGGTGGGGTGTGTGTGCACGGGCAGGGTATTTCTTAATACAGTGGTGGCAGATACTTGCCCACATCCAAAAGCAGATCTTTCAGATGCAAGAGAGCGTAGCAGTGGCACTCAAGCAACAAACCACACTGTGGTAAAGAAAGAGTGACAACACTGGAAAAGACTGCACCATTGAGATTACATAAAATGAAACTTTCTCTGGTACTTCTTGCCTACAATAAGAAACACGTTCATGCCCACTGTCAAAGTGAAGCTGCAATATTTTGATAGTGCTGAGCACATTTAAATATGGGTTGCATTTGCTTGCGTTGCTTTGTAATGGTGACCTTTTACCACCGCAAACAAAAGATCTTTTTATATTTTATACACTACATTAATGGGACGGCTAGTGATGCAATCAGAGATGTGTTATCTTTCACACAGTGCAATACAGCTTAATTTTTATCTCTTCCCTTACACTAGGCTTCCTTCTTTTGACTAAGAGACTGCGCAATGGATGAGAAAGATGGAATGCAAGTTGCATTAAATTCAATCCAGGGACAAATAAGATGCAGTCTATAAACCAAACAGAGAAATGTAAAACTTTCTTTTTGTCTCAGAAAGGGCATAGTAAGAAAAGGGGGGAAATATTTGTTCTACAAGTTTGTGATACTGAGGTCTTACCCGAGCTCGTGTACGAGGCTCTGCTGGATACGCCAGTACTTGCAGATGCCAGATAGGGCATTACTTTTTTCCCCCCAGTACTTCCCATTAGGTCTCTACATCTACACCATCTGCATTGGACATTTCTACCTTAGGTCACTATAAGAACATACTACATGGAATACACTCTTAAGAACATCTCAAAACTGTCACTTCTGCAAATTAGTTTTTTTGTCAGTCATTTGAAGAGTAACAGCCAATTGTCCATAGGTCTACAGTCTGTACCAATTCCCAGGTGCTAAAATGAGGCTTCCAGGAGAGGATGGTTGTAGGAGGAGAGGGCCCAACGGCCAGCATGCTCTCCTTTCTCAACACTGATGATACACTCCCCTCATCTTACCCTAATCAAGGAACAGGAGCACACCAAGCCTGCAAAGAAAGCTTCACTCTCCTTGTTCCCCAGTGTTACCTGGAGGCTGACACAGTAAAGCTTCTCATTCTCACACACATTCTTCATTCTGTTAATTCATGTTTTAGATCCAGACAACAAATACAGTAACTACACACAACTCAAAGACCTACAGCAACTACTGCACTGACAGCTTAGACCAGCAATAACCCTGAACAACAACAGGTGCAAACTTCTTACCATGGAGCATAGAATTTAATAAAGGTGATCCCTGTAGCAATGGTTGCATCGAAGTCTTTTTCAGAGAGAGAGAGCACTGCAGCCTGTTAAAAAAAAAAAAAAAGTCAACACTTTTTGTATATACAAGATCAGCCAAATGAGCTTTTAGCTACCTGAAAGGGAAACTCAAACTGGAAAAGATAATATTATTGATAATAGAAACAAAAGTAGCAGCAGAACACCTCACTTTTACCTCTCAGCTGCTTTCCTCCCCTAGAGAGATGTAGAGAAATGCGTATTTCACGCTGAATCTCATCCATAATTGGAGAAACAAAACATCCCTATTTTCAGGGGATTTGCCTGTATCCAAATTTTTAGTTGTTGGGAAAAAAATCACCTTCATTTTAATACACTGCCATGCAAATGGTTCAAGAACAATCCTGACAGGAGTTGGCTTAAAGCACATAATGGCCATCTGGGAGTTTAATGAGGTATTCAAGGCATACTACTGATGTCTTGACAGCTGTTCTCCCTCTGCTATGTACGCGCTACATACATAAAAAAAAACTATTACCAGAAACACGCATTTGCCTGTCACGGGGACATCACCACACCACACTCACATGGATGCCAGGAAGAATTTTTCCTCCTGATAACATCAGAAGCAATGGCGTGGGAGTGACGGGAGGATAGCACATTGCTTACAGTCTCATATGAGAGCACAGAACCATAACAAGCTTCATTTTTTGTGTGAGAACCTTAAGGGTGGGAGGGATTAAAAAAAATAAATCTCATGCCTATAAAAGCTTCAAATTCAAATGAAAGCAAAAGAAAAACAAGAGTGCAACTTACACTATTACCAATTCTACTTTAGACCCAGTAGGAGTCTTATGAAGAGAAGCCAAACAGAAACGTGAAATTATAAATTATCCAGTACCTTTAAACATTTCCGTAAATAACTGTTAGTTCATGAAATTAAGTTATTTCATTAAGTTGAAGTGTTTTTACCTCTAAAGAATTATTTAGAAATTAGAAATTATACTTTCTAATTATAATATAATTGCAAATAATTAAATGAAGAAAAATAAGCAGTAAATACATATTTTTCTAAATGGGTATCTAAAACAGATGTTTGAAACATCATTTACAATCTAAGACACCAAATCTGAAAACCCCATAAATAACTTCTTCCCCACGATCCACACAGTAAAACAAATTGTAGAGATCTGCAGATTACTATCAGAATAGCAATGTGAACTATATAACCACAAAAATAAGTTTAGTATCAGGTAGCTCAATTTTAGCTTGGTTTCTTAAGAAAAGACATCTTATGTAATCACATAATCTGAGCGCCTGCTGGTCACGCTACCTTAATCCACCTAGATCATTTATGAGTCATTTTAGCAATGTCTGGCAGGAGAGACGTCTCTCAGACATAAAAGTACAGCTTCCATGAAAAGGCCTTGGACCATGTAAGACATGGGGGAATCCACGTAGGTGCTCAACACTGGGACACAAATTTGGAGTTGGAACTCATTGCTTTTGCCGTCAGTGGTACCAGCTGTGGGCTGCTCATGGTAAAGGCAGTCAGTGTTTGCTGGCTACATGGGCTAGCTAGCCCCTTGATCCAAAATTCATGAAAACACAAATGAAACCAAGCTGTCTGAAGATGACTGACCAAGAAATGGCGGCATCTAAAGCTACGATGTAAAGTTACAAAGACAAGTTGGGTCTTACATGGTGTCTACTATTATTTGTCAAAATAAAATCCCCCACAATCCTTTTCCTGTTGTATGCAAGGCATAAGTAGGAATTTGCATCACATGTGGCTTGTGTTATTTCTATAAAAATAGAAAGACAACTAATTACTTTCTGCATTGTACTAACACAACTTGTTAGGATCTTCCAAATATGAGGTCAATTTAAAAAAAAAAATTGAGGGGTATGAAAATTGCAAATCTATATTGTCTATAAATATTTGGTGAGCTCCTTTATGCAAGATAAGTGATGCCATTGGAAAAGTCAAATGGGAAGGGTAACGTTGTCCTGTGAGAAGCTGCATGTAAACTGTATCTATATTATTAATATTGATGCTTTTTAATTACATAAGTTCATTCTACATCACGAGGGTAAATGACCATCCTTTATTTTCCAGTGTTTTCCACATTTCATGAAAAAGTATGCTTAAAAACCATCCCTAATTTCTCAACCTCACCATTTTTACATTAGCTACAAGAAAAATGGCAGATGAAATACCAAGCGATTGAAAGACAGAAAACTAAATGACATGAAGTACAACTATGCAAAGGTGATAAAGTTATTCCTGCCAATTCCTTGGCAACATTCATAACCCCTGTGGCTCCTACAACCAGGATTAGAATAAGCCTCCAAACCCACAGACTTTTCTTGTCACAGGATGTGTTATCTTGCCACATTTGGATCAGTCTTCATAATCTTTGCTTGTTTGTTGTTTCTGCAGATAGTTTAAACTATAGGACCCTGCCTTTTTTTAGGGGCTTAGCAGCGCTTGACATCCTCCTGGGTTCAAGTGAGAATCCTGCAAGAAACGTTCATCTCCATAGCAATGAAATACTCTGTCATACAGACTGAGGTGCCAGGAGTTCCACAGACCGAAAAAGACCACATTTATGCCATTCTATCTGAACAACTTACTGCAACCATGAAAAAGGAGACGGATTTTTTTCTTCTCCAATTCATCAGGTAAGTAAAAGTATCACTAGAATTTATGGTCTGATTCCACACATTAATTACTAAAAAAAAAACAACAGGAAAGTATTTGGTGCAGTTTACATCTAGAAATTGTCAAGCTATCAGAGAGAGAGAAACACATGGAAGACTCAGGCTGCTGAAAGAGTTTAAAGACTTTTAATAATGCTGCAGAGTGCAGGAGCACTTACCTCAACATGGGTGGGCTCTGCAGGTGCCTGCGGGGCTTCAGCGGGTTTATCTGCGGGTGGCTGTGGGGCTTCAGCAGGTTTATCTGCTGGCGGCTCTTTCCCAGAGCTCTGTAGTTGGGAATCCACATATTCCTTTAAGGAATCGAAGTCCCTCTTCCCTTTGTACTGGTCACCCTACAATTACAACATAGTTTGTGTAAGTGTGTGCATGCAGATAATCCAGCAAATAAATAATTAGCAAATAAATAATTACCAAAAAAAGTCAGATTGCCAAGTGTAAACATATTCATAATAAATATGATTATCTAGTCATTAAACCTCTCCATGGCATTCCATTCACTCCACATCTTCAGGATTTGCCATAGATTCTTCTGTACCAAAAGGGAACAGTCTAAAGTCTTCTTGAAACGAAAGGTATTTTAGAAATGTAGAAGCAAATTTTAGAAACTCTTCAACTTTGACCTTCACCTCTCACTCCAGTCAGCATTTTCAAGGTTTTAGTTTTTTGAACCTAAAGCTACCGCAAGGAACAATAAAATACCGATCGCTGTTTGGTGGTGGTCTCTGTTACCATGAGAGCTCTGGTCAGTGCTTTGACAGGGCTGAAGGGCTTGACCTCCCATGTTGTGTGACTACACAGTTGTTCCTCTGCTCCACACGCTTGTCACACATCCTTGGAAAACCCAAACTGTAGGGCAGTGCTCTCTGGGCGCCTAAGTTAGCCTGGGAGCAAGAGACAACAGCTGCCTGCTGTGGGGCAGGCACTTCCAATGGCACCACTCTCATGAAAATGAAGTCACATTTTTGAGCCTGCACATAAAGCCCTCAACCAGCTAGATCTTTGAGAAGCCACAGTTTGCCTTAGGTACCTCCCCATATCTCACAACTCTAGGGAACAAGAAATCAGAACACCTCTGAGCAGCTTCCAGTCTTGAATCTACTGTTGGCCATCTCCAAACTGGCTCTTGTGTAATTGCCCTCAGTGCTCTCTCCGAAAATTAGTAACAATTTCTCTCTTCAGAAGACAGATCATCACTTCAAGACACTAGATATCCATTTTGGATAGAATTCTTGAGTTTTGGTCCCATGAGGTGTGGGCTACAAGATGTATCTCCTCTCACAGATGAGGAATACTCTTCAAGAAACAGCATACAATCTTCCATACATTGAAAGGAAGAACAGATACCTCTTCAACTATTTCATGTATCTTTGGAACTCTTTCCTACACGTTTTCCTTCTTTTGTCATTGGTAACGTTACATGTAACTATAGCCACTTTCCCCACACTGGGTCTAAATCACAAAGGAATTAACCTAAGATGATGCAAGAAACCTGTACCTGCATGTTTGCATCCATTTCAGCAGGGTAGGGTCAGTGCCCATTCGTTCCCAGGGTTTCTGCTGCATCTAATCAAGAGGGATGGTATGATGCCAGACGTCAGTTATGACAAAGGGCATGATGGTAATATGGACAACAAGGCTGGATGGCTCAAGCAGTTCTCCTCCTTCCCCTGCTTACTGCACAGTATAATAGCAGCCAGAGAGATTTCCAGGAATTTCTGGGTCAGATTATTGGAAAGCTGTTGGGATTGTTTTGTGCTTTTTTAAAATATATTGTATCAGCCCACGAATGAACATGCGATTCTGGGAGCAGTATGCCACCAGGGAATACCACACTGCCAGTGGAGAAAAGCCAGTTTGATGTCAACAGAAATATATTGTTCAGACTAATGGCTGAGATTCAGCTTTACCAAATACAACAGCAGTGATCTGACTTTTTCTTTCACCGCACTCTTGAGTCAAATAACTCCAAGCAACTCAAACTTCAATAATTACATAGGGTCAAAAAAAAAAATAATTGATCTGGCTTGTTGAGAAAAACACAGAATCACGGAAGGCTCAGGGTTGGAAGGGACCTCTGGAGATCATCTAGTCCAACGCCCCTGCCAGAGCAGGGTCACCTACAGCAGGTTGCACAGGACGGCGTCCAGGCAGGTTTTGAATGTCTCCAGAGTGGGAGACTCCACCACCTCTCTGGGCAGCCTGTTCCAGAGCTCTGCCACCCTCAAAGTAAAGGAGTTCCTCCTCACGTTAAGATGGAACTTCCTATGCTCAAGTCTGTGCCCGTTACCTCTTGTCCTATCACCAGGCACCACTGAAAAAAGACTGTCCCCATCCCCCTGGCACCCTCCCTTTAAGTATTTGTAAGTATTGATAAGATCCCCCCTCGGTCTTCTTTTCTCTAGACTAAAAAGACCCAAGTCCTTCAGCCTTTCCTCAGAAGAGAGATGCTCCAATCCCGTAATCATCTTTGGAGCCCTTTGCTGGACCCTCTCCAGCAGTTCCCTGTCCTTCTTGAACTGGGGAGCCCAGAACTGGACACAATACTCCAGATGTGGCCTCAACAGTGCAGAGTAGAGGGGAAGGATGACCTCTGTTGACCTACTGGTCACACTCTTGTTGATGCACCTCAGGATGCCACTGGCCTTCTGGGCCACCAGGGCACATTGCTGGCTCATGGTCATCCTGTTGTCCACCAGGACTCCCAGGTCCCTTTCCACAGAGCTGCTCTCCAGCAGGTCAGCCCCCAACCTGTACTGATGCATGGGGTTATTCCTCCCCAGGTGCAGCACCCTACACTTACCCTTGTTGAATTTCATCAGGTTTCTCTCAACCACAGCTAACTTTTCTAGATCGAGACAGTATGGTTCTGGCAAAGTATCTTGCCATCTGTAGCTATCTGAAAAACAAAAATAAAGCAGGTGGAAAACAATTCTGGAGATACAGCAGAACACTTCCTGTTCTTTTGACTCATTGTACACAGAGACAAAAGTTTAACTAATTGAAAACACCGCTAACCTTGGACATGCCACCATGTTTGACTTGAGCACTGCCTCACCTTCCAGTTCTGCTTCTGACATGTGCCAGGCACCACTGCTTGAGCAGTAACAAGGCCGTGTATTTCCTGAGTGAATCAGATTGGGATTCAAAAATGCAGGTGCTGCTTCATTTAAATTCCCTGGGGTGTCTGATATCAAATGTCACATACACTGTTATGTACTTTTGGCCACTTTCTCTTTAGAGTCACAGAAAACTGGCTCAAGTGACAGCCACTAAACTGAACTGAGTAGGAAAACTTAAATCTCTGATAATGTAGATGTTCAAAAAGGAATGTAAGATGAATGGGGTAACACCCCCCTCCAAAAAAAACCAAACCAAACTTAGTAAGTAAGACCTGAAAGAGGAATCCTGGGTTCTCTACTTGCAGACCTATTTTTAATATCCATTTAATACATCTAATTTATCTTGAAAGTGCAAAACATATGATAAGTAACACTACTATTTATAATATGCTTATTTGCTGCTGTTCACGTACATATTTATAAGTGGTTTACTTCCCTGTAACTTCAGAATATTGTAATTCTTTGAATTGCTACAAGGAAAGATGTCAACTGGGCCCACAGGACTCTCACTCATAGTGTCATACAAAGTGTTCAGATTTATAAGAAGGAAAACTTTCATCACTCAGACAACACTCAGCAGATAGGCACCACTTGCACGTGAGAACCTTCTGACACAAATTGTGAAAATTACATAATTTCTTATTATTTCTATTTCATCTATGTTTTTGTGTTCCATAGGAGGTAAGGTATTAAGGTAAAGTAAACCCAGAATTCTCTTGCACAGTAGCATAATTGGAGATACTGCTTACAGACTTATGAATATCATACCAGCTATTTGCAGAGCACAAAGAGCAAAAAACTTTAACTTTTATCTGTGGACGAAGTATACCCCTTCCAGTACCTGACTGAACCTCCAACATCTTTTCTCTCACAAGCGGACTTTGGTATATACCCACTTGATCTTTTTTTCCCCAGGATGCAGGCATAGCCCAAGTATTATTCAGAAAAAAATGGTCTGATCTTTTGCTGAGCTTGCAGACTCACCTTTTCACCGTTCCTAAACCAGAGGAGTGTGGGATAGCCACGAACTTGAGTTTCAGAGCAGACTTCATAATGCTGGGTACAGTCGACCTACATTTTGGAAAAAAATATACGCTATTCAGTGCATAAAATAAACATACAACAAGTATCATAGCCTCCCTTATGTTTAAAATCTCAGAAAAAAACACAGGAACAAGCAATACATGGCTTGGCAAAACTCGATACCAAGTACCATCTTAAGAATGATTATGTCTGCCTTCCAAAGAGTGGTTTGGTTGTATAATTAGGCGGCTGTGTGTCTGACTTTTTTTAGGAGGGATCGGGGAGGGAGGTACGGATAGAAAGCAGTAGTAACAGTTACAAAGAACAATGAATATATAATCAAATATTCTAATTTAAAAGTACTTGGTATTCTCAGTGAATAAAATCACTGGATGGACAAGAAGACACAAAATGCTAATGTGAGAGAGCTTTGAAGTAAAGACATATTGGCTCATCCATTTCTTAAAAGACTACTCTAAAGACTTCAGAAGACATGTCAACAGCTAGCAAGTTAACTTTACTCCAAAGGAAATTCCAAGTGCATAGCAACATTCAATTCTAATATGTTATAAACCAATCTGTAAATTTATTAGTTTATAATCTTTTTTGAAGCAGAAAAAAAAAAAGATAACTTAAGCATTGCAGCCTTTGCTTGACACAGCACTTGGATTTTCAGTTTTACATTAGAAACACTTCGCACGAGATCACTGAAGATAATTCTAAAGATTAAACAGCATCCTGCCAGCAGGTATCACTGTTGTTAAGACACTATTCCCCCAGATTACACGAAGGTCATGGTTCAACCTTCTTAGAAACAGTTATGTTTCCTGTTTACTTACAGACTTACAATCTTAGCCAAGACATGTTTAGAATCTGCTTGGTATGGTGCCATGGGATGAAGCGCTGGAGGGAAGAAGGGCCCAAGAAAGCTGGTTAATATTCAAGGATCACCTCCTCCAAGCTCAGGAGTGATGCATCCCAACAAAGAAGAAGGCAGGCAGAAAAGCAAGGAGGCCTGCATGGGTGAACGACGAGCTCCTGAACATGCTCAAAAGAAAAAAGGAGGCCTATAGGGAGTGGAAACAGGGGCGGGTAGCCTGGGAGGAATACAGAAAAATTGTTTGAGCAGCCAGGGATCAGGTTAGGCAAGCTAAAGCCCAGATTGAATTAAATCTATCCAGGGACATCAAGACAAATAAAAAAATCCTTCTATAAGTATGTCAGCGAGAAAAGAAAGACTAGGGAAGATGTGGGCCCTCTCCAGAAGGAAACGGAAGAGCTGGTCACCCAGGATAGAGACAAAGCCGAGGTACTCAACGACTTTTTTGCCTGAGTCTTCACTGGCAAAGACTGCAGCCACACTGCCCATGATGCAGAAGGCAAAAGCGAGGACTAGGAAAATGAAGAACCGCCCTCTGTAGGTGAAGATCAAGTACGAGACCACCTGAGGAACCTGAAGGTGCACAAGTCCATGGGACCTGATGAGATACATCTACAGGTCCTGAGGGAACTGGCAGACAAACTTGCTAAGCCACTATCCATCATATTTGAGAAGTTGCGGCAGTCTGGTGAGGTTCCTGCTGTCTCGGAAAGGGAAAACATAACGCAGCCAACATGGCTTCACCAAGGACAAGTCATGCCTGACAAATGTGGTGGCCTTCTAAGAGGGGGTTACAGCAATAGTGGACAAGGGAAGAGCAACTGATGTCATCTACCTAGACTTGTGCAAAATGTTTGACACTGTCCCGCACGATATCCTGGTCTCTAAATTGAAGAGACGCGGATTCAACAGAGGCCACTTGTTGGATAAGGAACTGAATGAACTGTCACACTCAAAGAGTTGTGGTCAACAGCTCGATTTCCAAGTGGAGACCAGTTACGAGTGGTGTTCCTCAGGGGTCGGTACCAGGACTGGTGCTGTTCAACATCTTTGTTGGTGATATGGACAGTGGGATCAAGTGCACCTGCAGCAAGTTTGCCACACCAAACTGTGTGGCAAGGGGATATGCTGGAGGGGAGGGATGCCATCCAGAGGGACCTGGATAGGCTGGAGAGGTGGTCCCATGCCAACCTCATGAAATTCAACAAGGCCAAGTGCAAGGTCCTGCATCTGGTCTGGGGCAGTCCCAAGCACAATACAGTCCCAACCTCATGAAATTCAACAAGGCCAAGTGCAAGGTCCTGCATCTGGGTTGGGGCAGTCCCAAGCACAAATACGGGCTTGGCAGTGAACGGATCAAAAGCAGTCCTGAGAAGGACCTGGGGGTACTGACTGATGAGGAGCTCAACATGAGCCAGCAATGTGCAATCACAGCCTAGAAAGCCAACCGTATCCTGGGCTGCATCAGAAGTAGTGTGGCCAGCAGGTCAAGGAGGTGATTCTGTCCCTCTACTCTGCTCTGGTGAGACCCCACCTGGAGTACTGCGTCCAGTTCTGGAGCCCCCAGCACAGGAAAGACATGGACTTGTTGGAGCAGGTCCAGAGGAGGGCCACAAAGACGATCAGAGGGCTGGAACACCTCTCCTATTACGACAGGCTGAGAGAGCCGAGGTTGTTGAGCCTGGAGAAGAGAAGGCCCCAGGGAGGCCTTACTGCGGCCTTTCAGTACGTAAAGGAGGCCTACAGAAAAGCTGGGGAAGGACTTTTTACTAGGGCATGTAGTGATAGGATGAGGGGGAATGGCTTCAAACTGGAAGAGGCTAGATTTAGGTTAGATATTAGGAAGAAATTTTCATTCTGAAGGCGGTAAGGCACTGGAAGAGGTTGCCCAGGGAAGTTGTGGAAGCTCCATCCCTGGAGGTGTTCAAGGCCAGGCTGGATGGGGCTTTGAGCAACCTGGTCTAGTGGGAAGTGTCCCTGCCTATGGCAGGGGGGGTGGAAATAGATGAACTTCAAGGTCCCTTCCAACCTAAACCTATGATTCTATGATGTTCCAAATAGTTTCACATGGTACACAGTTATACAAAATTGACTAGGCATTGAGACAAATCTTAGTGGCTTTATTAAATAGCAACTATCAGCAACAGTAACTGCGAACACAACAGACAACTGAATAGAACAGAAATTTTGGAAATTTTTTGTTTATTTTTCTCTATGTATCAGAGAACGGTTAACTTCAAGAAGATAATTAAGCTAAGCAAAGATTTTATCAGACAGCAAACAAGGTTCTCAAAGTAAATCAGCAGATGCAACATTTGGTACAGACAGCATCAAAGGAACAATAGCCTCTGATATTTTATTCTCAGAGGGAATCTAATTTTATACCCACCAGGTCTCAAAATTATGTGTGTATATATATATGTCTGCTCTAAAGTTCAGCTATGCTGACCTGTTCTGTCTAGCATACCTGAATTAGCAATTTTCAAAAGCATTAAAAATAATTAAAAAAAACCCAAAAAACAAAGTCAAGATCATCAACCATAATAGCAGCCGAAAGTGCAGAGAAGATAGCTGAGGTTTTGTCCCTTTGTAGGACTGACAACACTGCTAACTCTTATGCAGTCTTTCAAATCAGTGGAACCACTCTGAAAGCTTAAGGACGTGGAAGTTGAGTCTGGTCAGCTTTCCACCATTGGCAAATACAGAGGGATTCACATCATGAGCCACCAGGACTTAGGTATGGGTCAGCAAATAAAGCAAGTAACTGCAGTTGCCAGACCACCTCCATACCTCTGCACAGAAGTCACTCCACGTACAAGTAACAAGCTCCCATGGTAAATACACCACAGAACCTGGTTATCAACCCTAAGAGAAATAGTAAAGCAGGACAAGATATCAGTTTTTAAGGCAGAAGACCCCCTGAAACCTTTAGAAAGTTCTATGGGGGTAAAGACAGGAAAAAAACACCAACCAAAAACCAACCAAGAAATAATTTATTATAAGGAGCCCTGTAGGTCTAAAGATTGCTAAGGAATCCAGTGCTGTAAAGAGCAAATTAGAAGTCACTTTCCCGCTCAAAATAAATACTGAAGTCTATCAAGTTCTGACAAAGGGGAAGCATAATAAAAAACAAATCTCAGAATGTTATTCCCTGCATCTGAAGTATCAGGCTTATTCCCAGCTCTCTCTGAAACACAGGGAGTTAACTGTTTCTAACAAATCCTTGCTTAAAATGAGGGGGTCCTGTCAAACGTGGACATGGGAGAAAAAAATAACCATCCCAAAATTAAAATAGAAACTAAGACTATAAAAGGATTTAAGAGGCAACAAACAAAACAACTGTTATTTGCAAATCACAGCATGAAAAGCATGATAGGTGGCTGAAACATTCATTCACACAAAACACATTTTTCAGACTAAAAGCACTTCACCTACCTTGCCAATCTTGACAGTTTCTGAATGTTCAAAGGCTTGAGCCAGCTGTTCCCAGGTTGGGGCCAAAGCCTTGCAATGACCACACCAAGGGGCAAAGAATTTGATAAAGTGATTACCTTTTAAGTCAAAAGAAAAAGAAAAAAAGATTTAACTCATTTGGAATGAATTTGGCTGTGATTAAAGACTAGGTACTAATCTCAGACTGCAAATTTATCGTGGTATTTCCTGAGTTAAAGATAGGAAACACTGTGAATCAAAGGCCAGGACAGAATACTTCAGCAATTAGGTTTTATGCAGTTCCACAATGTTGCCAATTTCCCTGAAAATCCAAACAGCTTCACAACCTCAAGCCAACAAATGAGATATTGAACCTGATATTTTTAACCTAACCATTTGCTACTATGTCTAATTCTACCATGTCAATCGCTTGTCCTATTACAGAGCAGAAAGAACCACCAAGGAACACGTATTTTTAACAGCATAAATGAAAGTATTAGACTTCAACTTAAACATTTCTTAGGAAACACTACTGCATTGAGTCCGTGAACTACCTAAATAATTTTGTTCAGCTTTCCATTCTTTTTCTGCCCTGCTCTTTGTATTTTCATGTCAACAATTCAAAAAATCACTGCCTTTAGTAGATTTTTGCAGTGTTTTGTAAAGAGGAGAGTCTCTGTACTATCTCCTACTAATGTTTTGTTTGAAAGTATAATCTTAATAGCAGAGTACCAGAATATGTAATTTCCAGAATATGTAATTTCCTTCAATTAAGATTACTATTAATTCAGGATGCTGCACGCTTCTGCACACCTCAAGGCAATGCTCTGTTAATATGAAATAAAAATGAACTTAATTAAAACAAGGAAAAAAATCAAATTAATTTGAAGGAAGTGCTAGCAACTAGAGAAAAGCTCTTTTTAACGGAATTACTCATAATCTTTTGAAGACTGCTTTGGGGCTGATACTACAAGAATTCATTTCTAGTTTTGAGGGCGTGTTCATGAAAGGAGGTCAGAGGAAAGACATCACAAAATAACTAGGAAATGCAAACTGCAGTAGTATTGTACTCTAACTTGCCTGGTCTGCACATGGAAGACTTTAAAACTGATCAACATGCTTTGCTATGGTCAAGCAAATTGCAAACTGGCATTTCTCACGAATGAATAAGAACAATTAGTCAAAAATCAAGCTATTCTATACCACGTACTCTCATATACTCTACTACCTGACAGAAAAAAAATACAAATTATTTTTGCCCTGGAGCACCAAAAAGGCAAAGGGAGACTTTTTAAGAACAAAAGTCAACCTTCCCGCTGGAACTGCTAAGCCCCCGGTAAATTTAAGCGGCTCACTTCTTGTAACTGAAATCAAGAGAGGACAACAGCTTTACAGATGATCATAAACCTGCTCAACCATCGGATATGACCATGAGAATTTCTCTTCTATGAATGCCAATGGATCCATAATAAAAATATTACAACGCAAATATTAAGACATTTACACATACACTAAACCTCACTATCTTCTCAGACTCTAAGGTTGTTTAATGCTTAGCACCTCCCTGGTGGCTTAGAGAATCCATGAAGAATTTTGATGTAATTCTGTGTTAAACCACACAGGCTGGGAAAATTTAAGTTAGCTGCACAAAATGCTCTTTTACTCTTGAAAATATTTCTATTCAGTTAATAGTTACTTTAAGAAGCTCTAGTATCTGCCTCACTGGTGGAATCACATGGGCACAGACAGTTAACTTAATACAGCCTTTTTTTTTTTCTTTTTTTTTTTTTTCTTTTTTTAGGAAAACTTATAGAGGTAGTAGGATCATCTGTTGTTATGGTAGCCCAAAGTTTGTATTGTAAGATATTGCTCATTCTCTAAAAAACCCACCACGTGGGGAGTGAAATTTCCTGTGTTAGGTGTCACTCCTGGTATTAATTTTAAACCTTCCAGACATAATATTTTTTTAAAATGGCCAAACAGGTGAAGTGTTTTGCCCACATTAAATTCTGGAGGAAGGAAGCTAAACAATATCAAATAAAAAGGGCCAGACTGGAGTGGGACGGGGGCAGTAAGGAGGAAGCAGGTGGATTATATTTATCCAGAAGAGCAGCCTGGGAGTACGAACAAGCCGGCACCTAAGGAAAGAGGAAACGGGACTTGCAAAAACACAAAGTCAGTGGCAAGGCTGTGACTGAGCAAGGAACTTGGGGAAAGACACAGTTTAGCCGAGCAAGCCCCACTAGCTTCTTACATGTAATTAGGGGCCTTAGTTTTACTGCCTTCTGAGTGGAGTGCCGTTCTTAAACTTTCTCAGGTTATGCAACATGTAATTAAACTACTGCATTTTTACAGTCTGCTGTTTCATCCTCTTTCACTAGGTATTACTGGAAAATAGAAGTGGGAAGGAGTTAGCCTGAAAACTAACATTTCTATTGCAGACCTCCCACTACTGATGTCTCTGTAAGCAAGTATCTCCCGCTTATGAAAAAAAGTTACCTTCTGCTATGTGCATCTTGAAATTGTCTGCTGAGAGTTCATACATTCCCTGCTTAGGTTCAGGGGCTTTTGGTGGTTCCACATCAGATTCTGAATCCTATTCATGAGAAAAATTAACTTTTATTTGTCTCGCACAGTAAATACATAATATATGATTGTATCACACCATTCTGTGATAGTGTTGTAAACCCTGTACCCTGAAACTTCAAATTTCTAAAGCAGTGTTCTTATTTAGCTTGATTTAGGTATCTAACTTTTCCCAACAGACAACTATTTGAAAGCAAAACGTGAAAAAGACCACTACACAGAAAAGAGCTATCAATCACAGTCACTGGAATAAAAGAGGCTTTCACTGTGCTGTATTATAGTCACAGAGCACAGAAACTGCTACGACATTCATCACATCACCACATATTAATAGACTTAGATTACATAACAGTTCCTCCATAGCATCACGCAGCCACCACATCTGCCACCACCACAACAGTTTCAGCGGTCTTTGGGCTACTTAAAAATAGCTAGTGAAAAAGCTATTTTCTGCTCCCCTAATGCCGGAAAGAGGGACCTAACAGCTCCATGAAGACAGCAACAATGGGAAAAGAGCAAACACTTTATAGGTATAACTTGCAGTAAACCCATTGGCACTTCAGCAAAAGCAAGTGACTACTTTCCAGATACTAGGGTCAGAGCTGGAAAGATTTTTTTTTCTTAAGAACCTCAAAGTACATCTTTTAAAATAGTTTAGCATTTAATGTTGAATTATTAAAAATGCCATGTTTGTTTAAATATAATCATGTCCTAACTGTAGCTCAGCAATCACTAAAGCTTTATCTTGATTAGAAGCGGCAATCACAAATTTCATTTTAGGCAAGGCTTGGCTACTATATGTAAGTGCTACCCCTAAACTCAAGGGTTTTCCTCGTGATGGTACTAGCTTAACTAACAGATTATTTTAAACCCTTTCTTTAGGCTACAACATTATCAGATAATAACTGAGCTAAAGATGGCACCCATGTTTTAAGAGACAATTAAACCCAACACAAATGCAATTTATAATGTATTATAACTAAATTGCTTTTCTTATTCTAGAAACATATGGCCTACAGGTGTCAACCGAATTAACACTAAGAATTGTATCTTAAAATGTGAAAATGCTAAACATTAAAAAATGCATTACATACTATAGTTTTAAATGCAGGAAACAAAGGGCAGGTCACAGGATGACAGTTTTAATTACTGTCACAACTTATGTGGAAGCTGTTCCATATTGTTAGTGCCACCTGACTTTTATTCTCAGGAGCAGATTTCCTCCTGGAAAATGAAACCTAACTTATAGAAAGGATAGATAAACAAGTCTGCAGAAGGGAATATTGCCTTATTTCCTTTTCACTTACAGATGGTTCCTCATTTAGTTTCTCCAACATCCAGTTTTCCAGTGCCTGGAAGTCCCGAGGGCCTTGGTATTTCAGAGGTTCTTGTCCAGGTTTAAGCAGCTTTAGGCTAAAGGATCAAAATGTAGAAAAGAGTGAGGCAAAAATTTTCACATCAGAAACATTCTTGGAAAGCCAACATGCTTTGCTAATCCACAGCAATGCAGTTCAGGGTGCAGTAACAGCTCTTTTGATTATTAAGATCAGCATCGGGCAACTCCCTCAACTTAAAGGGTCATGGCTAGAACTTAGGACACTTTTTCATTCCCACGTAAGCTTTTAAAGGAGATTTTTAATATAGCAAAAAGAAATACCATGTTAAAAATCAACATAGCCTAATATTACTTTGATCAATAAGCAAGAGCAAATAAAACACTGCAGTGTTCAGTTCTATTATGCCTGTTAATCCTATTTCAGTTTGTCAAAAAGCATAAATTTTGTTTTGTTCGCCTCTCTCCATCACCAAAGGAAAAATATCCAACGCTTATTTTCCCAGGATTTTTTTTCTCTCATTTTGTTCCCTGACTGCTCTTGGAATGTAGGACTTTTCAGGTGGCATTAAACTGATAAAAAAACCATGCTGAAACAAGTCAATAGGACAAGGAGATAAGTGACTGCTTGTAGGGATTCAAGACTTCACGATTGTAACATTTATTAATTGCTATTGAAACATTTCCATAAACTACCTAAAGCTTCTACTAGAAAATACTTAAGTTAAAGTTGGAAATATATTTGGTAAAGGGGCAATTATCAACTTCTGACTTAGTTTCAGTTACTACTGTCACCTGGCCCTCAGTTCCCCTTGCCAAGCTGTCATTTAGTACTGCTTTTTCTTTTTCTTGACATGTTTTTCTCTCCTCTTGTTCCACAGTTGAAAAAAATGAACATATGAAAGTATTGAAAAACCACATAATGCAAATACATTCAAAAGAGACAGGAGCTTCCACTGTCTTTTTTACTTAAGGTATTCTTGAATGTTCCTTGTGATGACAGAAAGTCCAAATGGGGGGGGTTGGGGGGGGTGAGGGGGGGGAAGCAACTTTGTAATAAGAAAAAAACGAACAAAAATGAAACAGAACATTTAAAATGCACTTCATGGCAATAATTTTGAAGAGTAACAAGACAAAAAAAACAAAAAGGAAGATATCGGCTTAAAGATCCAGCTGCACCTTTATTTTCTTCAAATGAGGGTAAGTTTTCCCTAGTTCAGTTGAGAGAGTATTTTGCAGCACCAAATAGTCCTGTGACAACTGTACTAAAGAGCGCAGAGACTGCTCAGTCAGTTTTACTCTCGGAGGGATGGAAAGGGGATGCAGCCTTTCCTTTGACGGGTGTTTGGAAAAGCAGTGTAGGGACCAGCACATCCTGGACGTGCAACAATCCCTCTGTGCCTGAGGAAGCTGTGAAATTTCCCTTGCTGGAGATTTTTAAAAACAGGCCAGTTAAAAACTGACTCAGACAGGAAGAGAATTGATAGCATGAATCCCCCTTCATCTGTATACTTCTATAACTAGCAGACTGCCTTATCATTTATACTTTTCAAGTAGATGAAAGCAAGCAGTAACTTCCTAGATACTCAATGACCTTAAAGAAGAGGGCAGGGGGGAAGCAATTACACATCCATTCTTTCTTTTTTTTTTTTCCACTTATTCAAAATCTCTGCCATTTTTTCAATTTTACAAGGAACAGCACCACAATATAATCTATTCAAATACGCAAAGATGACCAATGCTTACTTTTGGGTATATTAAAATAGAGTTGTAATATTCATTGTTTCTCGGTATTTCTAGTGGAACCAAGCCACAGATTACCCTTAAGGACAATTCCTATTTCAACAAGGACTTTGCTATTTATAACTCTCAACTTCTACTCGGTAGCACTCATTTGCGTCAAAGTGGGTGCAGCCAGGAGCATATGTCAGATTCAGGCTGTTGCTGGGGTCAGCAGTAACTCTAGACAGAGCAAAGGGAAGGAAACTGAAAAATGCAAGCTGTGGAAGGGCTACAGATGATCACATTCTCCACTTATGCCCACTAAGACAAGTAATTAGTAAAGCTGAAATGATCACATCTGTTTTTGCAAGAAGCTTTAAAGAAGACAAGTAAAAAAAATCCCTTTACTCCTTTTCGGTATCTAAAAAGGGAGCGTGCGTGTCTAACCCAAAAGCACTCTCCAGGCTGACCTCTCATCGATACTCTAGATCGTGTTCTGCCTACCAAAGCTGAGGTAGTAAAGCATACATCCTTTGTAACAGGGTAAGTTTAACAAGCTTAAACTCCAAATGAACTTCTCCTAGACCAACATAAGCAAAATTACTTAGAAAAAGTCTGTATGACATCACCACTGCTACACTAAGTGATACTATTAACTTAACATTTTATGAGCACCAAGTTCACTCAAAAATTTAAGAGATCACCTATACATTAATTATGAATGATGCAGTATACTGACAAACTTGTGACAAGTTATTTTTAAAAGTACTATTACCAGAGACCTGCTCTATCATGCTTGTCACAGCTGTATAATGGTGCTTGAGAAAGAGGTACTCTCAGGGAAAAGAAAAGGACAATTCTGGGCTTCATTTAAACACAGCCATCTTCCAAGACATAGAATAGCTTCTTTTAAAAAAAAAAAAAAGTGTAAGAGTAGTATATATCACATGATGCTTGGCAACATGGTAAAAAGGCTTAAAAAGAACATATGAGGTCCAAAGGACTACAAAGAAACCCAACAAAAATATAGCTTAGAAGTTAGCTTCAAGAAATTGGCAGAGGATCACGGAAAACTAGAAAAGAAAGAAATAGGAGCAGACATCCTTTTATACTTACGTAGGGTATCCTCGGACGCCAAATTCAGAGCACAGTGGAGTATCTGTAGTACAATCCACTTTAACAACATAGACCTGGGGGTTTTCCATGTTGTTGTATTTATCTCCCAAATCATTCCAAGTTGGCTGGAGACGCTGACAATGTCCACACCTGCGACAGAAGGAACAAGATATTTGCTTAATAGTTGCTCGTGTTTAGAGGGGAATGAATCTATGGAAAAGACATCTGCAGAATGGTCAGAGATTTTGATAAATTTACAAATTTATCCATACTCCAACAAAGCTTCCATACTCCAGCACTGTCAGGCTAAGCAACAGTGAATACTGTTAAGTATTATAGGACGCTTCAAACACATCTCATGTACAAATCTTCAAGAGATGAGAACTTCTTTTTGAGAACATATCTTTTTATATGACAAAGCCTACTGAACACCCCCTGAACTTAGTGAGGCTATTAAGAAAAGCATTCTCAGTCTTCCAGCTTCCTAGAAAAATCCTGCGAGGCTCTCAAGCTTTCTTTTCCACTCTAACATTTCAAAATACTGTACATTTTAGCAGAAGGTAAGAAGGTAATGGTTTCTAGCCTCTTTGTAAGGTCATTTGTGCTTGCATGCATCACAGGAATTGTAACTCACAAGTCATGAAACACATTAGGACTGATTTCTGAACAGGCTTTCTCAAAATCCTCCCATACCGTGCCCTGCCCCAGCAGCACACTATCAACTAATTATATTTGCATATACACAGAAAACTGGCCTCATGCAGTTGCTATAACATCAGCGCACCAGAAGTAGAAAATGGCTATTATTCTTCTCATTGCTTTTCTAGTCATTCCAATCATTATACTGATACCTTATTTCTGTAACTACGACGAAAAATGTTAAGGAATGGATTTTCGTTTCTATTTAATGGCTGCTTTTGCCAACCCTCCAAGGCATCTAAAAATACATAATTGGATTAACAGAAAACATTCTCAATCTGACAGTACGAAACTGTTATTACCCTTGGCATGATTTACACAGTGTACTTTGTAAGTAACAATTAAAACACCATTAGGACTTCAGAGAAAGTTGCTCCAATTTAAAACAGTTCAATTTATACAACTGTTTAAGTCCACTTGTAGAAAAAGCTGCATGGATTCACACTTTTCCAGGTATCCTGATAACATTAAGGCAAAAAAATTAACAAGATTTACTTTATGTTAAAGAACATCTTCCAACCTTAATAAGGTCCTGTTACAGTCAGTCGTAATGGGTCACATATACTCCTATTATGTGGGGTAATATGACCTCCCATATGAACTTTATTCCGAATTGTCATTGCAAAGGGATACAATGCGTTATTACTAAAACTAAATATGCCTTAAATATTTTACTTCAGACTTAAGTCCCTCCATAGTCAACTCTTTCACGGAGCTTGAATTAAGAGGAGGATTTTGGATTCCCTGGTCCCTTCCCCTAGCAGTTGCAAGGATTTTAAACACCAAATGAATACTGACTGGTGGCAAAGAACAGAGCATGGAAAACTAGGTAAAGCAATCTCATGTAATTAACCCACTGTTTTTTCAGCACAGAACAGAGCTGCCTTGTCCATATTTAACACTGTAATCTCTGCCATACACAAAGTTCCCCTTTCCTTTCCTTCTTCAGATTGTATGAGCAAAAATTGAAAATAAAGCAGGAAAAATGCTCATATCTGCATCAGTAATCAACTAGTTTATCAGTCCTGGTTTTCAAAAAAAAAAAAATAAAAAATCAGTGTTACATAGGAGGAAACACAAGACAAGACAGTCCCCAATATACTACTACTGAAATTCAAAAGGTGTAACTGCAGAATATATAAAACCAGAGAAGTCAAAAATAAAGAGGGCAAGACCATGCAACATCACATGGCTCCCTTAGCCCCACGTACCCACACAGTGGTTCGTTGCTACCACTCCACATTACATCAGTAGGGCTGGAGAAGCAACCAGTTCTACCACTGGGGACAGTGGAGACCTGGGCATCAATGAGGACCCCTGCTCTTCCTTCCCTTCCGGGGCTAGGAAGGTGCAAGCATTCATAACCTGTTTACAAACATAAACGAAGATCCAAAAGAGATAACAAGGCCGTAGGAAAGATCCACCTTTCTGAAAACAAAAACAAAACCCCACTTCTTGTTCACCACTAACATCAGGAGGTATGGGTAAAAGGACATTATTTTTAAGGGTTCACAGATAGGTTGTGCATTTTAACTCTGAGCAACCGCACGCCACAAGTGCTTGTGCCTGGAGATTATTTTGCCGTGACAGTACCAGGCTGCTCTACCTCATGCTGACAGGTCAGTGCTCCTTCCACAGTATCAGCACTTCTCATGTGCAAAACTGGATGGTGGACTTCCTGGGCAGCGACAAGAAAGGATGTAAAGGTACATAAGGACCATATATGTCAAAACTGCAGTTACTGGTAAGCCCTCTGCAGCCAGTGAAGAACACAGACATTTCTGGAGGCCACCAGTAGAGCTTGAGGTCGGCAGCTAGCAAGGGCGGCTCCACAGCAAGATACAGTACAAATCATTATCCAATTAAAAATGGTGGTAGACCTGGGATAGGCATGTATAATGGTACAAGCAGCACAGGACCAGTCTCGCTCCGGACAAAACAATCCAACTAAGACAAAATCCCGTCAACAGAGTTCAATTCAACAGCAACAAACCCTGGTGATCAAGTCTGCTTCAGCTCCGTGGACTTCCAGAGGTTCACGAAGAGACCACATAGATTGAAAAGATATGTAATGGTCAAAGTAATGCAGCAGTGAAACTACTTATTTGAGATTCCTTCCAACTAAGAACCCAGGGGAACCTCTTTCCTCTGTAGACACACAACTGGCATGGCCAACATCCTAAGAATATCTAGTGCCACCGAGAGAGTAACCTAGTCATGGTTCTGTTCCTTGTCAAGTGTAGCTACCAAGGTAGACAGCTGGATGATCAAAAACCTTAGACATGTGATGGTCAATGACTTGGAATGCTCTCTTTCTGGAGTAGCCCACAATATTCGAAACAAATGCAGGACCTCCTGTGTACCTCTGTTGTCTGGGAACAAAGTCCTCAGCAACATTTGTTTCCAGAATTCGGAAGAGAAGAGTTATGTCAGCTTTTGTATAACCCAACTCTTACTGGTAACATTGACAACGCACCATTAGCAGCATCCATAGCAATCTAAAAGACAATCCTAGCTGAACATTGGGTTGTTTGCCAGGCTTCTCCCTTGTAACCACAGGGAGCAGCGCCAAAACACATGCCTCTGTGAGAAGCATCAAGAGATTAGCACATTAACATCACCTAGCAATAGGGCAAGAGGCTCTAACGTAGGGTTGCCACCTCATTCCATTGATGATAAAACTACTTGTGTGTACAAGCACCTCTCTCAAGTATGGGGATGTTCCCTTTGCCCTTCTCTTCCCCTTGGACCTGAAACCTGGCCCTATCGCTGCCTGTCAGGAGCCAGGAATCCAGACCAAGGGCCCTGAAACCAAGACCCAGAGACCTGGAGGAGGCTTGCTAAGGGTGCGAAGAACGTCCAGACAAGGTTCAACAAGTCTGGGAAACAACGCAGCTCCCTCACGCTTGAGTTGGGCAGAGATCCTCAGCCCCTCCAAGGGCACAGCATGGTCCAAGCTTGCAAGGCCAGCGCTCTCTTTGATCCACGCTGAAGATGTCCAGCATACACTGAACTCTTCAACGACCCATTTGGCATAGACTGCGACAAGATAAAAGCTCATCTGGTTTTAGGGATGCCTCTGAAACAGTCAGTCAAAGCTTGGACAGACACAGACATTATCACCTGAAAACAGAACAGCGCAGCAGCACTCCTGCTCTGCACAGGCATTGCTTGGGCCTTACAGCACTCTCAGGCAGAGGTCCTTCACCAGCAAGTTGGGCGTCCTCCACTTTTGTGATCTTCAGAGAACAAAGGAAGGCATCTGCTCTTTGAAGCTTTTGCTTAACATTTTTGTATAGCATAAACAAGCCGATGTTAATAACCAAAAAAAAAGTAGTAGTTCCTCAGTTTTGAAAGGAAATCCTTTTCTGCTGTTGATTTCAAAAAGTGCCATGACTTACATATGCCTAAATGGCACCATGTACCAACAGATAACTTAGGAACAAAACATAACTTTTTCACATTGTTCCCTTAACTTTATTTTACCTAAATTTAAGAAAACTTGGAGAAAAACAAACAAACAAAACCCAAACAAACAACCCTAACAACAAAACTCCCAACAACCTCTACTAGGTATCAGTAAGTTACATAAAAAAGGGTAGAGGAAGAGACAACGAAAAAAGAAGAATATGAACAACCACGAGAAAGGACCAGAGGTAAGAAGTACTGTTCTCTTGACAGCCATAACATCCAGCAAAGCCCTGTTCTCCCACTCCTCTCAACCATTCTTGTGTCAAACATACCAGACCAGCACAAAAGCCCAGCAGGTCTCTTGCAAATCTGGGAACTCTCCAGCTCTGCTACGGCCACCTGCGGCCTCAGGGACGCAGCATGCTATTGTTGTATTATCGCTTTCACTGCAAATTAATCTTTAAATGTCACCATTGCAAAGTGAACATGACTTCTGCAATGAAAGTAGTTGTGAGACCGGGGGGGTGGCACAGGGCAAGCGCGGGTCACCGAATCACAACTACTGCCATACACACAGGCCGTGCGCTCTTGGTCTCCTCCAGGAACGAGGTGAAAGAGACCCCGGGGAGGGACAGGGAGAGCCGCCGGGGACCGGGGCCGGCTGACACCCCAGCAGAACCGGGGCTGCCCCACCTCACCTCCCTCGCTGCCCGCCGGGGCGACTTCACCCACA